CAGGCCTGGAAATTCCAGTGGAGATTAAGCGTTCGAAGGGAGCCTGAGAGTTAGTCAGAACATTTAACATTGATAGTAAACCAGTTCAAACATTGAAGCTACCCTCAAAAATGGAGGCCAGGGTGTTCTGGGATTCCCCTAAGCCGAGAAGGCCGCATCAAAATGAATATTGAGATCGCCGAACAATCGTCTGACCTTTTAAAGTAACCGCTGCAATCATTCAGATCTCAAGAGGAAGCATCCACGTATGCAAACATGCACATGCGCATGCAGACTACAAGCAAAGGGCGTCATATATGTACACATCGTCGCGTGATCGCGCATGCTTTCGGAGTGAGGGGTTTCCGCTGACGCGAATCCATTTGCAGTTGTGCACGTGTTGGCTGCTTCGGGACAGGCGGACGTTGTTGCGTTTATCTTCTTCTTCTTCTTCTGGCCAGGGGGGGGGGCCTGGCGGGGCCCTCGCGCGGGGGCCCGCGCGGCCTCGTGGGGCCCAGGGGAGGCGGCCCTCGTGGTGGAAAACATCGGCGCCGTCGGGGAGCTTGAGCTTGGGATGAAAACATCGGCGCCTGCGGCGGGCTTGGAATCAGTTGTCCAATTGAAACATCAGCGCCTGCCGTAGGCTTGGGGTCCTCATTCGCGTTTGGGTGGCAACATTGGCGCCTGCGGCGGGCTTGTGCTCTCCGAAGGTTTTTCGTGGCAAGACAAAATCGTTGCCTGCGGCAGACTTGTGATTCATGTTAAGCCGGTTTTGGTGGAAGCAGAATCAGCGCCTGCGGCGGGTTTGCTATTCGGTTTTCGTGAAAATCGAGGCCTGCGGCGAGCTATTGCTCCTGGAAGGTTGGTTTGTGGAGAGAAAAAACACGGCGCCTGCGGCGGGCATGTGATCCTTTTTTCGGTTTTGGAAACAGAATCGGCGCCTGCGGCGGGCTTGAAATCCCATTGTGTTTTGCTCAAAAATCACATCGGCGCCTGCGGACGGCTTTTGATCCCCAGTTCTTTTCGGGTGGAAACATAATCGGAGCTTGTGCTGGGCTCGTGATCTCCATTAGCTTTTTGGCGCCTGCGGCGGAGATGCTTCCGTCAGACCATGAGCCCTCTGTGTGGGCAGGGAGCACCTCCCGCGAGCATCCGTCAAGACACCGGCCACCAGATGGGGATGGGGTGAGATACCGCCTCGCGTCATACGCGGCGGACTCCTCGTCCCACGCGCCCGTGCGCATTGCCCAACGAATTGCTATCATGTATCTGGTCGCTCATGCACACTTGCATGTAATCGTGAGGGCACGTTATCTAGCGGTTTGCTTTGTTTTTGCGGCGCTACGCCGACGTGCACCTCCTGAAGCAATAGTCGGGGCATGTCTCTGCAGACGACGGCGGGCGCATGCGCCGTTATCAACGCAAGGCGAAAACCGCGTGCTCTAGGCGCATGGATAGTGCCCACTGGGTCTCCTGTGGACTACGCTGGCGGCTGCCGCGGGGTGTCCAAGGTGGCTAGTGTCTCCTGAAGCTAGCAGCGCATTGTTTTTCGCTGCGAAGTACAAGACGAAGAAGCGATGGCGGCTCTGCGACGTCTCGCCGAAGATCCGCGATTAGCCGCGAAACCAGGAGAAACACTGCTCTGCCACCTGAGCATTGACTCCGCCGACCCGCAGCTTCAAGCTGCGGATTCTCAGCGGGTTGCATGAGCAGGTGGGTACGTGCCGCTGGGCGTGCAGTTTGTCGGCGATCCAGTATTTGGTCTGGTCTCGAACTGATCGCCAAGCAACGCCGAGGGCATCACCGAACACGCCCTGTCGTAGATGACGCAGTTGACGTTCGGGCACTGTGAGGGGATCTTCAGAATGGTGGATCAGACTACGTTGTTGCCCTCTGGCACAATCTGCTCGGTCACAGCAACTACGCGGCCGCTCGTGATCAAGAGCATGAACTACCCGCTGCTGTGGCGCAGAGACCTCGGAGGCTTGCGTTTTACGCCAGCTTTGGTCGCCGCAGGTTTCCCGACCACGACGGCTCTTTTCGCCGCAGGGCTGGGTTCGGCGCGACTCTTCGCGGCCGCGGGCTTCCTCCTCGCGGCTACCCTTGCGACCTCACGCGCAGCCGAAGGTCGCTTTATCGCGCCCCCCCCCCCTTGGCCGGCAACGGCCGCCGCTGCAGCGCGCCATCACCTTCTCGCGACCGTCGCCCACCAGTTATGTGACGGAGGCGGGATTGGCAGGCTGGTGGATGTGCTGGCGAAGGTGGTCGTCGTGTGCCCTCAGAGCGCTGTCGCTGATGTCTTCCTCCACGTAGACATCTAACTGCTTGTCGAGGAGTCGGGGGGCTCCAACTCTGACACGGCCAGCGCATATTGGATGGCACGGGCGTGGGGTTCGCGCAAATCGAAGGGGAATTCCTCCCCCTCTCAACCACTGCCGCCGCCGTCGTCAAAGACGTCCCTCTGGCCTAGTCAGATTCCCTGGCCGACGCGAAGTTCCTGAACGGCATCGCCTCGTAGCCTCGCGCGCACCTCATGGTTAATCTGCGCTTGCTCGAGATGGAGACAACCCCAGTGCCCCCAAGGTCGGCGAGACCAGCGGCGCTCTTTCTGCGTTTCCGCCCCGCACGAAATCACGGCCGCATGTCAGGCGGCGCTTCTTGCTACTGCGCTTCCGCGGCGCGACCGTCGCCGTCTTTGCTTCGCGCAGGTCGCGCGCGATGGCTTCGTGAGTTGTCTCCCCTTGTCTTGCAGAGCTTGCAACCGCGTGCGCACGATTCCAACGGCGTCTCGAACGCGTCGGCAATGTCTCGCCGCAGACCATTTTGCCATCGGCGCAGGGCGCGCGCTCGCCGGTCGACCCGCCTGCCCCCGACTCAAGGGGCGCATGTTCCGGCGAGTCCGGCGGGAGTTCGATGGCCGAAAATTTTACATGAGCGAGGAGTCTGGACTCTGCAGAGCATCGACGCACGGCCGAGATCTTGGCCGTGCGCGTTCTCTCCCCAACGTAAACGAGGCAAACGTCGTTCTTGAGCAAGGTCGTGGCCAAGCACTGCGGGCGGCTGCCATTCTCGACGTGGATCAAGCACTCGCCTTTGCCAGCTGGGAAATCCAACGATGGTACCAGGTATATATTCGAGAGTTTGGTGCAGTCGTTGTAGGTCCGAACCTGGGTCTCCGCTGCATCCTTGTTCACCCTGCCGCGCCTGCTCGCGAACGTCGCCGCCGCGGGAACATTGTCAGTCAACCTTCTGGCGACGAGATCTACGCGTATCTACTGCTGTCGGCCAAGCCCATTCCAGAACCAGGAACGGCGCGTGCGCCGCCCGAGCATGGCCGAGAGCACGCGCGCAACTCCTGGCCCCAGGACGGGGCCGGCAAGCAGTAGTAGTTGATGGGGAAAAATTGCGTCGCCTTGGACCTGGCTATCACGAGCGCGATGCAATTGCCCGGCACCCGTAAAACTGGAGGAACGTCCGCGTCATCTTGCGCCGTGGTCTCCGCGTCCCCGATAGCCATGGCCAGAAAGCGCTCGTGGGTCTGCGAGGAAACCTGCACGGAATAACCAGCGCCTTCCAGACGTGCCTTCTCCGAATTGGCTTTGAAGGACGCCCGATCTCCAACTCGACGACGGACTACCATGATGCCATCAAAACGCAAGCTTGAATGCTGCGCAGACTTCTGTCCTGATAAAATCAACCCAGGCAGAGAATGCGAAGTCTCCAACGAAGGTCCAGGCGTAGAGCCGCGCTGTGGCAGAAGGGCTCCTCCGAGAAACGTCTTCGACGAGTCTGTCGTGCATCTCAGAATTCAAGGAGACTGCGAGCCATCGAAGATAAATGCCCTCGCGCCGCAGCGCCACGAGGAAGGCATGCTCGGCGAGTTCATCGGGCAGACTGCCGCCACCGAAAACAGAAATGCACGTGCTTCTGGTCGAATCTGCAGCCGTGCCGAGCTCGTCGCGCACCGGGGGCGCGGCTGTGATGTATCTTCGAACTGATTCAGCCCCGGCAGCCTGAGCGCCAAGCTTTTCAATGCAAATATACAACATCGCAGCAAGCAGAATTCTCACCACGAATTCCCTATTCAGCCACGCACCCAGGGACAATGAATGACCGTTCGGCCCACCCACTCTGAGGAAGAAGTAGACAAAACGAGTCCCAAAGCGTCATAGCATTCCCCCGCCGCGACAGGTGGGGGTGGGTCCCGCGAGACTCGCGACCCCCAGTGGTGACCCCCGTTTGGCGCTGCCTAGCAGCAGAGGACCCAAGGCCTTCAAAATTGAGGTCCGACGGTGCGACCTCCACTGTGGACGCTTCCCCTCCCCCCTCTTCCCTCCAAGTTGAGGTTCGACCTCCAAAATCAAGGTTTTCGATCCCCCGGGTAGGCTGGCGGCGGCGCGCCCTTTCCTCCGCGCCGGTCCCGTTGGTCTCCCAGCCTCAAGCTGCGTCAAAGTACGTCCCAGCCAGTGCAGAAGCGTGAGCGACGCAGAAAACCAGGTTCGATTGCGCGGACATTCTCGCGTAAGCTGCCCGCGTTTGGTCGCGCGTAAACGCCCTCGTTTCCAATGTACCGTGCCACGCTGGCGGGCCGCGCAAGCCACCGCGTAAGGTCGTCGCTCACGTGAGTCGGCTCGGTCGGTTGTTGTGCCTCTGCGTTCCTCCGGGCTGCTTTTTCGGGCCGTGGGTCTCGGTTTCGTTGTCGGCTCGGCCAGTTTCAGATTTCGGCTTCTACGCGGGACCGGCAGCGACGCGGGCCTGCGGAGGGCCTTGGTGGAGCCCACGGAGGGCCGTCCCAGGCCCTATGAAGGGCTTCCTGGGGCCTCCGACCTCCGGGTCCACCTCCACACAGACGTGGGCGGGGCGTCTGGCCATCCGGGGGTCCGACGCCGCGAGGCCTCGACGGCGTGTCGCTCGCCCTGCGCTCCGCGCTGGAGCGGTTCGAGGCGGAGGTGTCGCGGCCGGACGGGGAGATCGACCTCGCCCGCGCCGCCGCCCTGCTCGCTCTGCACGCCGACCCCGCGATGGATGTGGAGGCCAGGGTGCTGCAGCCGCTGGCCGAGCTCCAGGAGCGCTTCCGGGAGCGCCTGGCCGCGGGCACCGATTGGGGCGCCGGGGCGGAGGATCTCTCCGCGGGGAACCTGTTCACGCCGCCATGCCTGGCCAGGGCCATCCTGGGCCCCAGGATGGCGCGTAGCCCAGCCATGCTGGTCCCTCCTGGGCCCCGAGTGGGGCCTCGGTCCGGAGTGCGGGTGCACCGTGCCAGGGCCCAGGGCGGCCCCGGCCAGGCACGGTGAGCGTGTGCAGGTGTGTTCTGCGCAGAGGACGAGCTCCTGGCGCCGTTCGTACTGCAGCGGCGGGTCCAGGTGCTCTGCGACTTCATGTCGGGGCGAGGCTTCTCCGGCTGCGAGCAGCGCGACGAGAGCTATTACGATGCGCGGAACTCGCGTATGGACCAGGTGCTGGAACGCAGGATGTCGGCATCACCCAAACATATACTTCTGTCATGCGTGCGTCGGCCCCCGAAAAGAGCGGCGCTCGCGCCCGGAAATCCGATGGTCAGCACCCGCTCGTTGGCGGGCGCCGTCTTGCCAGACCGCCGGTGCAGTGGTCTGTCCCAAGGCGCTCGCACCAGTGCCGGCGTGCCCGTCTGCGCCCCAGGACGGGCATCCCCATCACCCTGTCCCTGGCCTACATGCAGGCGTCGGGGGTGGGCAGGCCTCCTACCCTGGCGCGTCGAGTCGTGAATGGTCCGTTTTCGGTTCGCGAGAGATTGCGTCGCGGCCGTCGTTTTTGCGGGTCCAGGTCCGTCGGTTTCGGTCCCAGGCCGTTTTCACTAAGGGGAGGTCTATTAAAGGGAGGTTTGTCCACCGCCGAAGGTGGGCAGGGCCGGCGGGATCGAGCTGCAGGGCGTGGCTTTCCCGGGGCACTTCCTGCTCGGCTTCGGGCGTGGCGAGGGCGCGGGGCTCTTGGACGCGTACTCGAACCGCATCGTCAACGAGGACGAGGCGGCTCTGCTCCTCGCGGGCGTCTTCGGAAGGCCAGTCAGGATTCGGGGAACAAGCACTGGCATACATGAGCGTGATTAGAGTTTCGCCCAATTTTGCCACTGCGGCGCTGTTGGGCAAGATGCGGAAGAATGACGAAAGAATGCAGAGGAGCACAAGACCAACCGAGTTCGAGCCTGGTCCAACCTTGCGGTTTTACTCGAGATGCAAGCCCGAAGTTGCCCGCCCCCCGCTGACGCAGCTCCACTCCCGTCACATTGTACCAGGCTCCGCGCGCCTAACGCATCCACGCTGCGCTAGCCTGTCAACATTTTGAGATTTTTCCCAACCATCCTGTGGTGTTGGGTCCTCGTTTTGAAGAGACGTCGCCCCGCGTTCTCCTCCTCCTCTCCTCTTCCTCCTCCTCCTCCTCCTCCTCCTCCTTCTCCTCCTCCCACTCCTCCCTCCTCCTCCCTCCTCCCCTTTCTCCCTGCGTTTCATCCACCCAATACAACGTTTCGTGGCCCCATATTAGGGAGCCCCACCTACGGTCCCAGTGCTACCGTCCGCATGCGTCCCGCACACCCAGTACAGCGTTTCGTGGCCCTCCTCCCCCTCCTCCCTGCGTTTCACCCACCCAATACCAAGTTTCGTGGCCTCATAGGGAGCCCCACCGAAGGTCCCAGTGCTACCGTCCGCATGCGTCCCGCACACCCAGTACAGCGTTTCGTGGCCCCATAGGGAGCCCCTACCGAAGGTCCCAGTGCTACCGTCCGCATGCGTCCCGCACACCCAGCACAGCGTTTCGTGGCCCCATATTGCGGAGCCCCACCTGCGGTCCCAGTGCTACCGTCCGCATGCGTCCCGCGCACCCAGTACAGCGTTTCGTGGCTTTCCTCCCCCTCCTCCCTGCGCTTCACCCACCCAATACAGCGTTTCGTGACCCCATAGGGAGCCCCACCGAAGGTCCCAGTGCTACCGTCCGCATGCGTCCCGCACACCCAGTACAGCGCTTCGTGGCCCCATAGGGAGCCCCCGAAGGTCCCAGTGCTACCGTCCGCATGCGCCCCGCACACCCAGTGCCGTGGCCCCATAGGGAGCCCCACCGAAGGTCCCAGCTACCGTCCGCATGCGTCCCGCACACCCAGCACAGCGTTTCGTGGCCCTCCTCCCCCTCCTCCCTGCGTTTCACCCACCCAGTACAGCGTTTCGTGGCCCCATAGGGGCCCCACCGAAGGTCCCAGTGCTACCGTCCGCATGCGTCCCGCGCGCCCAGTGTAGCGCTTCGTGGCCCCATAGGGAGCCCCACCGAAGGTGCTAACGTCCGCATGCATCCCGCACACCCAGTACAGCGTTTCGTCGCCCCATAGGGGGCCCCACCGAAGGTCCCAGTGCTACCGTCCGCAGGCGTCCCGCACATCCAGTACAGCGTTTCGTGGCCCTCCTCCCCCTCCTCCATGCGTTTCACCCACCCAGTACAGCGCTTCGTGGCCTCATAGGGAGCCCCACCGAAGGTCCCAGTGCTACCGTCCGCATGCGTCCCGCACACCCAGTACAGCGTTTCGTGGCCCCATTGGGAGCCCCTACCGAAGGTCCCAGTGCTACCGTCCGCAGGCGTCCCGCACACCCAGCACAGCGTTTCGTGGCCCCATATTGCGGAGCCCCACCTGCGGTCCCAGTGCTACCGTCCGCATGCGTCCCGCGCACCCAGTACAGCGATTCGTGGCTTTCCTCCCCCTCCTCCCTGCGCTTCACCCACCCAATACAGCGTTTCGTGACCCCATAGGGAGCCCCACCGAAGGTCCCAGTGCTACCGTCCGCATGCGTCCCGCACACCCAGTACAGCGCTTCGTGGCCCCATACCCTGAGGTTGCTAAGATCTGTTTTTTAGATCTGGGCGCCAGATTTATTTTCCATGTTAAGATCTATTTTTGTAGCTGATTTCTATTTTCTAAAAATAAAGAACCATGCGCTCTATAAAACAGATCCTAGGAACCTCAGGACAGAGCACGGTAGCGCGAATGGCGCCACGCATATTCTTTGTCAAAAGTTGCAACAATTTCAAGGATTGAGGGTGTATGTTAATCAAATTGAGGCTCTCACCTAGGCGCCGCGTGTGACAGTTTCAAGATCGGAAGCGTCTGGTATTCAAAATGGTGCTATCGCCTTGGCGCGCCCGCCCTTCCCCTCCAATGTCTCCTCCTACCGCCTCCTCCAACCGCATCGCTGCCGTTTTGGCTTGCATGCGGGCTTCATACTTCGACACTTCGACATGGCACCGAAGAAAAAACGACAGGCCTTTGATGGTAGCCCTGACGGGCTGGTCGAGCCTCTCTCTACTGCCTTCAGCGATGGGCCCGTGATCTTGAAGTACAGGACCAATGTAACCTCTGGCCAGAAGGACACCTCTGTGCTCGTGAAAAGCTTAGACCTGTTGTGCAGTTTTCCCTCCAACGTGCCACAGTCGGTCATGAAGAAGGCTCTCGTCCAGATCTGCAAAGACAATGAGAAAACCTGGAAGCTAGTTGGTCACGCAGCTGATGAATGGTGTACCGACACATCGAAGAAATTACGAGCAATGCGGAGGGACGTAGCACAGCAGCTCATCAAGTGCAGGGATATCTCAAAGGACGACTGGCCAGACTGGATCGAAGGGTTCGCCGAGAAGCTTGGCGCCACGGACGAGGACGAGGCCGAGGACGATGGGGAGGACGCTCCCGCCGAGGAGGATGATGCTCAGACCGACATCTCGAAGTTCCAAATCGTGTGGGACCCCGAGCTGGAGGTGTTCTGGCTCGCACAATCGATATACCCATCAGTGTTGTTTCCTTCGGTCGGACTTCCCATCGGCATCCCACTCTCACGACGACGGCGACGGCGACGACGACGGCGGCGTTCGACGAGCGCCAGGTTGCTACTCGCACGCACAAGGAGACTGGCATCAAAGAGGTGTCTTCGCCACCCAGGGCTGTCGGGAAGCAGGACGATGAGCAAGCGTTCGTGCAGTGGCTAGACGGCATGACGTTCGACATCCCTCTCAAAGCGGAGTCTGTGCGGGCCAAGAGTGGCAACATCAAGCACGGCAGCAGGACGCTCCACGACGTCTACGACAAGGACGGCAATCGTACTTGGGTGACGGTTCGGGTCAGCAACGGCGAGAAGATCCTGATCGTGGTCGGCGAGAAGAACAAGGTGAAGCGGAACGTGGTGTCCATGCAGTCCTCGAAGCTCACATCTTCGCAGTGGATCCGAGCCGTCGACACGTTCAAGAAGATAGCGATCGACTTCAGCAGTGGAGGGCTTACCAAGGACGAGGCCAAGGAGCGCAAGGCTGAGTTCGAGAAGCAGCTGCAGACAGAAAACAAGCGGGCTCGAGCTGACGACGATGACGCTGCTGGCAGTGAGGGGCCTGCTGTGATGAAGAGGCCAGCGATGGCAGTTCTTAAGAAACCATCGGCGGCGGACGCTGGGCCAGCAGTAGAACGCGATGACCGTGACGAGGACGCTGGGCCAGCAGTAGAACCTGATGACCGTGACGAGGAGGCTGCCGAGGAGGCTGCCCAGGAGGCTGCCCAGGAGGAGCAGGCACCTCCAGTACCGAAGAAGCTGCCCAAGGCCAAGGCCGCCAGGAAGCCCAAGGCGAAGGCGAGGGCGCGCCAGGAGTCCAGCGAGGACCTCAGGGCAAACAATCTTCCTCCTCCTCCTCCTCTTCCTCCTCCTCCTCCTCCTCCTCCTCCCTCCTCCTCCTCCTCCTCCTCCTCCTCCTCCTCCTCCTCCTCCATCTCCTCCTCCTCCCACCCATGTCCTCCTCCTCCTCCACCCACCTTCCCCCTTCGTCTTGTCGCTTATTTCAAGCTTCTCCTGGACCCCCAGCCGACCCCCGCCCCCTAAAGTCCCGCCCGCAGACGGTGGCCAGCAACCGGTGTTGGAGTGGGGCTGAAAGGGGATGGAGGGGGTCAGGGGGAAGAGGATGACGTCGTTTTTCCGATTGCGCGCGTCCCCCCTCCCCAGGATAGCGACTTCGACGGCTTGCGAGCCATGGAGAAGGGCGTGCTTGAGATCGGCGACGAGATCGTCGCGGCCATGGGCCCTGGCGATTAGGTTTCACCGCGCGCTGCCTTGTCGAAGGCAAACTGTCTTCCTGTGTGGAGAGAGGGGCGTCGACGTCGACATCGACGACGCCGACGGGGGAAGAGGGAGGAGGAGGAGGAGGAGGAGGAGGAGGAGGATGAGGACGAGGAGGAGGAGGAGGAGGAGGCGGAGGAGGAGGAGGAGGAGGAGGTCAAAGTGGACGAGGAGGACGCTGGTGGCGGCGGAAATGGAGGAGGGCTACCCCCCATGAGCTCGCGTCAAGAACCGTCTTGGCCCAGGCCGTTAGCTAGGATCAGCCCCGCCCCCCTGCGCGCGGAGCCAACATGAAGATCGAGACGCACGTCGAGACGGTGCCTTCCCCAGCCGAGGAAGAGCCGCCCACTGACGAGGATGCCCCTGGGTCCGAACATTTTTTGTCCCTCCAGGAGAAATCATATAACACAAACTTGCCGAGGTGGGCGGGGGTCGGCTCGCGCAGGGGTGGCGGGGCCTCATAAGGAAGCCACGCCGACGGTACCAGCGACGCCAACAGAACTCGCAGCAGGGGGCTTGCCTGTCGTGGGAATGGTAGCGCCTCTCGAGCCAGCCCCAACTGAGACCCTCGGCCCTGCGCCAGATCAAGCCCAAGACGATGCCGACAAGGACCCCAGTAACTTTGAATGGGAGAGCCCACGTCTGTCATCCTTTCCCCTCCCTCTCTTGCTCCTGACCTCTGTTGTTGCTGCTGCTGTTGCTGTTGCTTCTGCTGCTGCTCGCCCAAGTCTCGAGGATATGGAGACACTGACAGCTGATATTATGGACACTTGGGCTGAGACGGAACAGGCATACCGCGAGATCGTCAAATCCAAGGACCCCGAGGAAATGAACAGGCTTGTGCACCAGGTTGCAGACCTTCTGAACAAACAGAAGGCCGACAGCACGGAGTTGACGGATTTCTTTCTGAAAATGCTGAACGCTGACTCTGGTGATA